ATCAATCAATTCATCCATTGCTCATTATTACTCAAAAATACTCATTGATGAGTACTTATGGTTCCCAAAACGAAACAGTTTTGTTCTGTTACCAGGATTAAATTCCCACACCAGAACACAATTGTCCTGTTATTGGGCCTAGATTCCCACAACAGAACGCAATTTCTCGGTTATTAGGAACCATAAACATTGGCATTATGCTAATACTAATGCAATGCTAAGCCAAAACCCTTAAACATGAGTCGTTATGAGTAATCACTTTATTATTTGCCAGCAGTGTGACAGTTTTGGGCCTAGAGAACCTTTCACGAGTTTCTAGAATTGGAACTGTAACAGTCCTAGTGGTGGGTGCACAAGGGGTAAATAGCAGACTCCATGTGACTCCACACGACTGGGTCCCATTGTTTCCCCCTTAGATGGGTGGGCAAGGGTTAAACAGCAGACTCTGGGCTTCACTTGACTCCTGATGACTCCATACGACTGGAGTCAGTTGTTTCTCCCTTGGTGTACACTTACCCGACTGAATTGGTTTTGAAATTGATAATACACATTTCGATCATCACGATTCAATTCTCTGTCTGAGACAAGAATCGTAGCCCATTTCTTAATATCAGGCGTTTCTTGAAATAATTTGCCTTTCTGTTGCCATTTGCCAATATTCACCGTCACTTCTCCATTTCGATATTCAATTACTGGTGGATCTAACACACGTGCAGGTATGTGTAACATTTCTCGAGTGTCAACCTTCATTTTAATATGGTTCAAATAAGGATCTGAACTTAATTCGCGTTCACGCAATATCTGTTTGATATCATTGTATCGATCTACCGGTTTGATAATACTTAAGTTTGATTTTTCTTTTTGTTGCATAGGTGATAAAAGATCATTATGAACACTCTGCCATTCTTGGATGAAACATAATTCAGGTGGTATGTAAGAAATATTCGGACCTAGAGTAATAGTAGACAATTAATTTTTATATATATTCAGTTATTTTTCGCTAGATCTTTTAAAATTGAATGAACAGCGTCGAATATCCATTGATAGATCGCTTGGAACTTGTCTTTAAAAATAAAAAGCTTAATATTGTCAAGACAAAAGCGTTTATCTCAAATATTTTCTATATCTTTTTAAATAGGTCAACTTAAAGCTTTATCTTCAGACTGACATGTTTTCTGTCGCTTTACTATGATTCAAAGATGAATTAATTTCTTTTCACAAAGTACAAAATAATCAAAAGTCGTGATAAATTATCGTCTCCACAAGGTCCAATCTGTATATGTTATAATCCTATTGAAACTTTGCCGCTAATGGGACAAAGATTTCTGAAACCTCATATGATAATGTGAGTTTCGTGCTCATCCAACGCTTTTTTTTCTTTTTAAGACGAGGTCGAAAATTAAATATAATTAGATTTGTACTATTATTTTTTATTTATGAACGACATGTGAATAATTTGTTTAATTTCATAAAATGTATTTGTTTAACATCAATTCAATAGATGAAAACTCCACCATTTCAGCGTATTTTTATATATGCTCGTGGTTGAGCGTCCAAATTTCTAACAATATGGAAAAGGGGATATTTGAAACATAATTAAAATATTTGTTCAATGTAAAGCTTGGATTCCTTATAAACCATACTATACACACTATCAATTTGTATACTTTTTACTAGAATGAATGATGACTTCGAAAATATTCTTAAATATTTTAGAAAAAAAATCTTCTATCAAGTAACGAAGACAGAATTCTAATTATTGCATCCGTTTTCAATACTAATTCGAGCTGATTAAAATTAATTTAAACGGTTTTTTTAAAACATCTTGCATACGTAGAATTCCACTATAACAAAATATGTTTACTGGTAAGTAAAATTTCATTTCAATCAAAATTATTCACTCTTGCTTTTGATTTTAGTTTTTCAACGTGTATATTACTGAACAGATACACTAGAAGGACTTTTGTTAGAACCCAAATCATCATAAGTTAGACTATACAATATACTATTACCTACCGACTTTCGCTTGAATCGTGGGTACATGTGGATGCTTAAGTGTGATACTCCATTTTGTTGACATATACTCGGCCACTGTTGTTTCTTGTCTTTGTCCGTCGTTTCCAGTAATTATGACCATTTGGTTGCTGGATGGTAAACCAAATCCAACCACATCATACGCTATTTTTGCTGGTGTATGTTTAGTATAAATTTTAATCATTTCAAGTACGTTCAGTAAACCGCGCTCTTCCCTTTCTGTAAAACGTGGTGATTGTGTCATATCATGACGAAGATAATCAGACAAGAAATCGATTAAATTCAAATTATCACGAAAAAAACAAGATAATTTTTTGTCGATAGTTAACGTTGCGCCAACTTGAGTGACCGATATTGCCTGATATGAACCGCGTGCTAACCAATAACATGCACCTCAAATATAAACACAAATTTTAGCAGGAACTATCTAAATTTCGTTACATCTTGTTAAAAAATAGACTAAAACAGTGGTTTTTGAGTATGACACTTCAATTCCTTCTTGGAGATACTGTAGGAGTTTCACAAAAGTAGACTGCAAAAAAATTCGGGACTTTTCGTGGGTAATTCCATGTAAAGTCACTTATTATATCGACAACCATCACTCAATCCTACGGAGTACAAGCCTCTCATTTATATGAGGTTTGAATTTATCGAAAAAACTGTTAAAACATATGTTTTCTGGTTTTAGTGGCAACTTGCTACACAAATAACTAAAGTAGAATAGATCAATTTTTGATCTCATGCACAATTTGCATTCGCTCCGACATCAAATCAATAGTTATATTTTCATTTCATATTGAAGCAGATTATGTATTGTAACATACATATGTACGTATACTAAAAGGTATATCGATCTATGTCAAGATATATATTTCTGTTCTGATGTAACCTACGCTGCAAAAGTAAGTGGACAAACTGTCTCACCATTTTTGTTGTGATAAAATATATTTCGGAAAAATGAAAAAATCTGTTGAGAATCTATATTTAAAGAGCTTTCGAACTGTGTGTTCAAAAATTTTCTATCGCTTTTAGTCTCATCAGAATGCGCGAATCTTTGCTATGTCCTAAAAACTAAGTTTGTAAGAAAAGAAAATCTGGTATTTTTCGACAAATGTAAGTCACGGGCTTGGCCAAATCAAAAAGTAAGGAAGGTCTCTTGTGGATAAACTTTTTGTGCTCTTGCTTTCTGCAACAGAACGTAATAAAAAAATGTTCCGCCGGCCAGACAGAAAAGACTGCTTTTTTCAGAGCAGGAAAGTGTGTGACCCCTTCTATCCCACCATTCACCTCGCTCAGTACTTCTATTCCTTATATAAATTTTTTGTAGTACATTACTAAAAAGTTTTTACGACATAAGCTTGTAGAACAGGCAATTCTCTACACAATAGGACGTTAAAATAGGATACACAACATAACAATCGGAAATTATTTGCGTTTTTTGTACATCATTTTTTACCCGAAAAGGATTTTGGGAAAAACACAATTTTTCGAAAAAGCAGGCTTTTGATAAAATTAAAAGTTTGCCCAGTTTTTGCAATGCAAAAATAATCTAACGAGAGAACCTACCAAGGTGATAAATCACTTTTTGATCGACATCTAGAGGGTTATAGGTTATCGACCATGCTGATTCAGAAGATGACCATGGGGCTTCCCCATAGACCTTCGAAGATCTAGTCTTCTGTGAAACCAGTTTTTCAGAAACTCCAAAAAATAACCCAAAGCTTTCTTAACAATGCAGGATTATAGCGCGTAAAGTTCTCATTAACATAAAGCATCTACCAGCTCTATACGACCTTTCTTTGCAAAGTTATAGAATTTGTAACAAGAGCCCTAAATTCATTATTTCAGTAGCTTTGAGCTGACAATGAACAGGCTGAATCTTTGAAGGGCTATGGGGAAGCCTCGTGATCATATTTGGGATCAGCATGATCGATATCCCATAACCCACTAGATGTCGATCAAAAAGCGATTGATCACCTCGGGGGGTTTCCTCGTAAGATCGTCTAGTTGGCAGAGAAAATTCTGCTTTATAAACTAGTGAATAAACCACAGTCTTTCAGTTTGAAGTGGTTATTGTCAAAATGAAAAAATATCCGAAATTTTTATCGTTACAGCCTAAATTTTTGATGATAACAAAGATTCGCTCACTGTCAGAAGACTAAAAGCGATAGAATATTTCTGAAAACATAATTAGAAAGCTACCGAAGTATACATTCAAAATAACTATTTTTGACATTCTCGAAACGTGCTTTACCACAAGGAAAATGGAGAGATATTTGTCCAGTTACTTTTGCATCGTAGGTTATATATGAGCAATTCTAGTATTGTTCAACCTAAACTCATACACCTAACTGGTTCTCGGTTGAGACTATACGAAACTCTTTGAAACCTATACCATTTTATTCAGGACAGTTCCTGTTATAATATATACTGTTAAATTTTTCTCTTAGCTTAAACCGTTCGTGTACAGCATGCAAAATCAGTTGTTTCTTTTAATCTTTTCTCCTTATACATTTCGAGCGGTTTTCGCATGTTCTCTTTCCTTAATTAACTTCGTTCTTCCTCCTACAAAAGATAAAATAGAACACGTTTTTATTTGCTAGTAGTGTTTGTTTGCTCTAGCCATCTGTAATCTAGGTTTAAGCTTTAAACTTGAACCAGAACGAAGATAAATAGAATATAAATTCCCGTTATATCATTCTGAAACTTAAACTATCAAAACACAAAATCATTCCTTGCACGAAGCTAGGATCGAATACACAAAGTTGATCTTTCCAGACGAACTACGAAAATCAACTTCGTTGTTTTTTCCTATATTCTGCACAATGATTGAAGTTGTGCAATGACTCGATGTTATCCTTCAATGTATGTGTTCTTTTGTGACTTTTTCTTATCGACCTACAAGCAGTTTCTTAAAATTTCAAAAACTCGTGTTGCATCCCGTTAGGATTTCTAGGCAAGTAAACAAGTGTTTAAATTTTAATTTTTTCATATGACTATACGTAGAAAAGTGGTTCCACATTAAACTCATGTTCTACGAATATCAATCTATTGACGTAAACCCAGAACAAATACTGAATATCCGCCTGTCCCTAGGCATACCAGCCAATACCATAAACCCGTAACGTTTTATGGAAGCCATAACTCTTCAGCCGATTAACGTACAGCGTTGGAAACATCTTATTTTGTGGCTTAAAAATTTTTCTTTTAAATAGTAGTTAAACAATATTTAGCTCTACCCTAAAAATCTGCCTATAATTCGTACCAATAAGCCCTTTTGTACGAGACTGTCTTATTATGTCACTTAACGTAGTCAGCTGCTAGACTTTGTTTAATTACCATTTAAAAGAAAAATCTTTAAGCTACAAAATAAGATGTTCCCTAAGTCCGAAGGTTAATCGACTGAAAAGCTATGACTTTCACAAAACGCTGTGGGCCTAGATAAAATTCGACTTTTATGCGAATAAGCCCATATGTAGGCTAGTGTCCTAGTATTAGCACTGAGTGAATTTACTTTTGGCTTCTTGGTCGAAAGACAATTAGATACATCCGATAGGCGTTGATGAATAATCCCAGCAAAACAATAAACCTATCTTTAAATTCGTTGCAAATATTTTTTCTCAAATTATGGTTAGGTAAGTCATCGACATGCTAAGAGTAGCCAAATGACAAATCGCTAGGAGAGTGTAAAATAATGGTAGAAATCTCATGGAAATATGTGATGAGTGTTGGATGATATGCGTCGTTTTAACAAGCAGAACTTACCAAGCGGTTGAAATTGTTGGTTTTTGATATAATAGAACCTATTTCTATTGCAGATGTATTTCGATCGTATCGTTTGTTTTAATAAAGTTTCCAAAATTCTCACGATATCATAGGGTCGAATAAGCACTCCTGAATGCTGTCGTTGATGAATATAATCGTCCAGATCTTTGAAACTGTATTGACGAGTTGTCTGATAGATCGAAAATAAAAAATCTTCTTTATTATTTAATACGTAAAAGTCTTTTGTGTGATTGACCAATGACTCGAATGAATAAAGGATTTTTCCATCATCGAACCACACGAAGGGCAAATCCTTTTGTTGTTGAAGAATTTTTTCGACGATTTCAAATCGATTGTATTTCTTATTATTGGCATTGATGTATTTCTGTTTGCGTTTATCGTATACCATTAAGTCACAATCATATTGATGAACAAGAAGGTCGGTAGGTATAGTACAGAGAAAATGATTTGCATAAAGGAAAATGCGTTTTCCATAAATGCCACCTTTGTCTGGTCGATTGGCGATCGGAATAATTTGGGTTTCAGGCACAGCTGATCGAATTGCTCGTGGACCAGATGAATTTCTTTTCGGTTTGGATGTAATTGTAGATGAGTCTTGTTTATTGGATATATTACATTCTGAGAACGAACGAGATAAATTCTTGGTGGAAGATTTTCTTGACTCGCGTTCTTCGAGTTGGATATTACTAGCACCATTCAATTGTCTACCAACCTCCGGTGGAGCGTTGTTTGCTTAAAAAAAACTTTTAATTTTCAATTTTTAGGTAAAAGGTTTTTCTTTAACTATAGTTTAAAGATTGATACAATAGGAACTAAAAACAAACCTTTTTAGTAATTTAGAGTTTTGATCGATGCTCGTCCTTTATCGCTGATTTGAAACATTTTAAAATGGTGCAAGTAGCACGTTTTCAGAAAAAACGTGAACATAGGAAACTTGTTTCTAGAAAAATCCTCTACCTTTAAGAGTATTTTAAATGTACCATTTAATTCAGAATCGTACGTGCCCCATATTGAAGAAAAAAAACGGCCTTTCATCGCTAAATTTCGAATTTTTAGATTTTAAAACTTTTTTAAAACTTAAAATACACTAGATAAGCAAGTTGAAACAAGCAGCTCAAATATCAATGTTGATTTTACTATTATTAATATGATATAAGGTCATTTTATGTGTCCGAATCATTGTTCACTATGGGCAGTGTGGAGACATATCCCCATCGGTATGTACTTGCCAATCGGTATATATATCCCGATCGGTGTATCTTTTTTTTTACAGCAATATTTTTTTTTATATCCCGAACGAGATATAGTCTGACATTATATCCTGAGCGAGATATTAAAAAAATCATTATCCCGATCAGGATATCAAAACTTTGGCGGTGATGGCGATGATAATTCATTGATTATATCTTTTATTTAATTTATACATAGGTGACATAAAAATGAACAGTTACAGTTAAACATTTTTTGTTGTTCATATAATTTTTTACTTTCACATTAACATGTTTTTCATCAAATCTAATTAGTTTAAAAGGGGTGTTGCCGTGCTAGGCAATATGAGTATAAATGCTGTAACGGCAGGGCTGATGATACTCTTTTGGCACCTTCAGAAATGCTGGCTTCATGACTGTTATACATTTTAAAAGATACAGCAAGTTGTGACTCACTTATATAAAACCAAGGGGGACAAAGCATACTTCTGTACTTCTCGGTACTTCTTGATAATTCTGCGTACTTTTTTGTACTTCTCCGTTCTTCTGAAGTACGAAGTACGAAAAGGGGAAAAGCGTATTTCGTACTTCGTACTTCAGAAGTACACAGAAGTACAAAAAAGTACGCAGAAGTATCAAGAAGTACGGAGAAGTTCCGAGAAGTACAGAAGTATGCTTTTTCCCTCTTGTATAAAACATAAGACAGTTTATCTGCATGAACGAATAGTAGAAAAAGTCCCCGTTAAACACGAAGCACGTGTGCTTATATATTCTCTATGCACCAGAAAAGAAATGTATGTTTCATTATATGTGCGTATCGAAAAAAAGAAATAAAAAAAGACGGTCGCTGTGGAAAGCAATTAGATCAAGACTATATCCCATTCTGAACAATAAAACCTTAACCGCCTATATCCTGATTGGGATATAAATTCGACTAAAATTCGATAAAAGTTTTGTTCGAAAAATAGTTGCCCGGGGCGTGACAGACTTTTAATCAAATACAACAGAATTCGATGTAGTTTTTCTACCTCTTTCTAATGGTGAGGTCAAGTTTTTCTCATAACGTCGTTATTTTTCCCTTAATCGTTTTTACGACAAAATTTTGTGTTTTAGATCCCGCTTGGAATATGGTTGATATCCTCATCGGGATATATATCCCGATCAGGACAGAGTTGGGCAAGTCAAGTCAAAAACGCCTCAAGTCCAAGTCAAGTTAGACCTAACTTGACTTTAAACGAAAACCTCTTACTAGAACTGAGCTCAAGCAAGAGATTTTCGTTTAAATTAGACTTTTTCTACCATGAAAGAGAGTTTCCGAGGCTATAGAAACTCTTTCACTCAAAATGTGCTAGCAAATTTTATGTTCTGCCTATTTTAACCAGACTGAACTTGACTTGGAGGAAAAGCTTCCAAGGAGCGACCTGACTTGACTTGATTGGTGACTTGCAAAACTCCTGACTTGCCCAGCTCTAGATCAGAATATAGAAGATGTTTCCTTACTGATGGGAGGGCTTATGAGAGTGGTTAAGTCAGGAGATTGAAAGATGAGCAGTGAATGTCGATACAGTTACGAAAATGATTAAGTAGCTCACCTGCTCGTCCACGACCACGACCTCTGCCACGAGGTGCTGTTGAATTTAACATTTAGATAAATAATCTAAAAAACGGAAACCAAACACTGACGGCAATCTTAGAAACGCACAGGTTATATAAAAGTCCAAAAATATTCGAACTTTATTCCCTCTTTATCATACAATCAGATTTGCACTATCCGAGCCCTCCTGCAGAAATTTGGCCTCAACAGCTATAGTTGACCTCTGAGCGAAAATTTTATGGGATATTGGAATATTTAAGGAATATTATTAAGGACTAGATACAATTGAATTCTCAATGCTCCATCTACCAGGATTCAAATGATGTCGCTTGAATATCGATCGAAATAACGCTGTTCGTAGGTGCAGGAAGCCTGGACCAATTAGAGTACTGGAGGGCTTAGTTTCGAGGCGATCGACAATACTCTTTCAACGCGTCCTAATGTTGTTCGTTTTTACTTTAAAGATATGTGAACATTACTTTATAGACCGAAAAAAAGAGTGATAGCACTTTCGTCACATAGAAAAAATCATCACACGTGACGAAAGTGTATAGGATTTTTTGGGGAAGTACCATAGAACTCCTTACATGTGGACTACTCCAATTTGGACTGCTGCAGTGTGAACTACTACAGACCAAACTACTCTCGAACGCAATAGACGTTTGACTTTGCTATTCTGACCTCAGAAAAAAGCCGTCAGAAGGGTTGTTTTACGCGTTTCGCTAAGAAAATGCAATGTCTGTAAAGAAAAAAGCAAGAATTTGTTACTCCAGTTTGTACTACTACACCATGGACTAATGAACTGTGCACTCCAACCTTGGTTTCATCGCAACCGTTTCATGCAACATGTGACAATAGTGACGACCTGTTTAAAAACCAGACACTTTCGTCACATAACGGGTTAACTTTCGTAACCACTATTGAAACATGGTTAAACTTTCGTTACATACCGAGAGAATTTTGTCAATGAAAGCAGAATTTTCATCATGCGACGAAAGTTCAGCGTTACCCAATGGCGAAAGTGTATGGTGACGAGAGCGCTGTGAAACGAAAAAATCTCATACGATGTAAAAAAGAAAAGCACTTCCAGGTTATAAGCGTTTGGGCGAATCAGAATTGCAAAAGTTTGAGTTGAGAAAATATTGAATCAATACAGCGGTGTCTTCATATGGTATACAACCTGCGACCTCTGGCAGAATTATCATTACTTATGACTTCTAGTTTAGAAATGTTTGCTACAGCAACTGACATTTTTAAAAACTCCGTTACACGGCTGTTGAAGAACTTTTCCTTAAACCTTGGAGAATCATAGGCAAAGCCTGAATCATCATGCAGTTTGATGAAAGACACTTTAGACTATCCCTCTATATGCTTAGATCAACGTCAGAATTCTATATTTTGTGGAGAAAAACGAAAACAGAGTTCCTTGTTTATGCTAGCAGTTAACTTGATCGTGCAATCGAATAAAGGAAGCAAACCCATGCATTTTTTCAGCAAAATATACTTTTACGCACATGATTTATGTTTACTTTTCGACAACTGCTTGAATTTTTTCTATATCACTTTAATCTACTTGATGTATTGTAACAGTAGGATGAGTAATTGAGTCAATAGAAAAAAAAGAAAAAAAGTGGTTCAGATTGTAAGTGTTCTTTTTTTATGTTAACAGCAAAAATAAAAATCTTGTAAGGAACAATATAAATTTCATCATATTCATAATATACCATATACAGCGTAAAAAGTAAATAGTAGTCACGTGTTCATAACAATCTGACTGTGAATAGTTTTCAGTTATTCTACGAAGACCATTACCAAATCGACTAAGTACTCTATAAAACAAGGGCTATAAACAAAAGCAAAGGTTTCATATATTTTTTATATACCTTTCCACATTTTTCGATGAAATGTCAAAATTCTAATTATTTATCGGATGATAGGGAATATCAAAAAAGTTTCTTACGGAAACCTGCGTAAAGGAATTCTGTCCTTTGCTTAGTTCATTCATAGATAGACTGAATCATATGTGCTGTACAATACGTATACATACTGCGGAAGACAAAAGGAAGGTGAAAGATAAATGCATCAATGAGAGAGCGATAATTATAATTGACTGACGAGAAAGTGGACAATATAATACGGCTGAATGAACAAGGAAATAGAGAATCATTGAATATAGACACAATGGAAGGGGGATGACTTCCGGTTGGAAAAAAGTAATAGTGATTATCTAGTCAGAGTTGTTTAGTATATGTATAGTATGATATTGAAGTCCATAGTGGGTATGGATTTCTGAAATTTCTGACGCTGGCGATAGTTGACGTATATGCACTGTCTATCGTGGCATGAAGAAGGAGAAAGCGGAAGGAAAAATTCTTTTAATTGTGCAGTATGTGTGTTGTGCAGTGGAAGCAAAGATAAAAAGAAATCGTGTTTGTGGCTGTTTCGTGCATACCTGCCTGCCTATTCGTATAGTAGACTATAGGGTGAGAAAAGAAAACTGTTGTGTATGGTTTGATAATATGTTTCTACAGCAGAGGATGTTTGTGCAAGCTATGTAGTACATATATGCATATACATATACTGCAGTGTATATAGTATAGACTTGAAATCCTAATAATACTAGAATTTCATAGGGAACCAGACAATATTGCACCATACTCCGCCATGCTATACATTCTGAAAATGTAGTTAATATCTACAGTAACTATCGTAAGAAATATTGGATTGCGCCTCACTCTCACCAACCACCACCCCCTTCCCTACACGCACTGCAGTATATGCATAGGGTGATATTAGCTAATATCACTCTATGCATATGTGGATTTCGCGGATTTGTGGGTCTTCAATATCATTTGGTTACGAGAGTAGACAACTCTCTGTCTAGTGGAAAGAGCCCTTATGTTCCTCGCTCCCCACTGCGAAAATAAAAGAAAAAGAAACATCACAAGAAAATATTTTAACGAACGATGCTAGAATGACTAAACGACGTGGTGCATCATGAAGAAACTGTTAATCCGTTAATGGTGTTTATTGATACCCATTAGTAATAGACGATGAACCACCCTATATGTGCGACGGAGGTGACTTGTTGATATTCAGCACTCGTTCTACATGACCTGTATCATCGCGCGAGCTTGTCAATCTGTATCACCAGTGAAAAAGTTGGTGTCTGTACATAAAACAAAGAAATGAATATTGTGGACACACTTCAGACAGTAAAACTGTGTTATAGGCGTAAATTAAAGATAACGTGGCTTAGGTTGAATTAAGCTTACGAGGGAACATATCCAACTGTCAAATCGCTTTTCTAACGAAATGCGGTAGCTTATAGGTAATCGATCATGCTGATTCCGAATATGATAGCCGTTTTGGCTAATAGGCCTTTCCTAATCGGTTTCTGGAAAACCAGTTTTCCAGAAACCTCGAAAAATCCCCAAGAATTGTCTGATTAAGTCATAACTGTAGCCCGCGAAATTCTGATTAAAATGAGACATCTCCCAGCTCTACACGATCTTTCTTTGCAAAGTTATGGAATTTACACGAAAAGCCTAAATTCATCTTTCCTTCTTCTTTCTGTAGCTCTGGGGTGACAATAAACATTTAGGGCTTTTCGTGTAAATTCCATAACTTTGCAAAGAAAGATTTTTCGAGGTTTCTGGAAAACTGCTTTTCCAGAAACCGATTAGGAAAGGCCTATTAGCTAAAACGGCTATCATATTCGGAATCAGCATGATCGATTACCTATAAGCTGCCGCATTTCGTTAGAAAAGCGATTTGACAGTTGGATATGTTCCCTCGTTAGTTTAAACGAATTCGCAATAATCAACAAGAGAGAAAATGCTGTGATAGGTACTGCCGAAAGTTATACTGAATTAGAGTTTAGCAATTGAAATAACCGAGGCGGAGAACGAAGTTCATACATGCAGTGTTCCCTGCATGTATGAACACAGACTTTGTAGAGAAGGGAGTGATAATTAAGAATGATAATTTTGACGCCTGATCCTTTTGTCTCATTGATAAAGAATCATTTTCCAGGGATTAAGACAAGTTTTAGCAATCAATAGCAGAGCGAGCTGAACGTTCAAATGATATAAAAAGGTTGAAATTGTGGCTCACTCCCACCCAACGCTGCTCCTGTTAGGTCCGGTATACGTTGTTGTGTATAAGTAGTTTATTTAGAAACTGAACACAATCTCTTTTGCACAAAAATAGCGTATATTTATATCAAAGTTCACACGAAAAGCCGAATATTCTAGAGGTGATATACTAGACTGGGAAACTGGGGATACATGTAAGCGATCACAGAAAATAAAGAAACCAAGAACTAACACTGGGAAAATTCCTGACAGAAAGAAAGAGAACGAATATATATACATGTATGATACCTATCACACAATTCTCTCTTATGGCACGTCTTTAATATGTGCCATAACACCTCCCCCTCAACACAGCAAGGTATTTTCGCACTCCATTTACACAAGAACGAAAAACACCAAACATCCGTCGGAACTGCGTTCAGAATTTTAAACCCCATTCCGATCCCGTTCAAAAAAGACAAAATTTGTGAACTTCACTAGTTCACGAATTTGGATTTAACAGAGTTCAACAACCCGTTTTGCGGAATCCATAAAATAGGCGTTCATAACTATCATTTTCCATCCACGTTAAGGGAAGTTCAACAACCCATTTTACATGGTCAACGCTCGTTCAACTACTAGTTCCCTATTACATTTTCCCCTCCAAATCAGAGGGAGTTCAAACAACCATTCCAAAGAGGGGTGTGAACGGGCGTTCAAACTGAAACTAAATTTTCTCTCATTAGAACGTATACCACAACAATCGCAACTCGACAAATGAAATAAAACGATAAAAATAACTGTAGAGTTGACCGGCGCAGGAGGGGACAGAGCAAATCTTAAAATTCATGAACTTTACAATTCTGCTATTTTGTAGTGGTCTCTTGTATAAGAAAAAGTCTGTAGGAAGTTGATGGTCTCCGTTATAGCGTGTGACATTACCGATGATTTACTGGTAGCAGGTAGTTCGTCAA